CTTAGCCATTCCTCTCCCCCCCCCAAGATTATCTCCACCATCTCCTGCCAACTTCCTTCCCCCCCACCTTCCACATTCCTCCCACACATGCTCCCACGACTCTTTAACCCGCACATCCTACACATTCTGTCCTCCTCCCTACCCCAATACCTCCCTACCCCAATAAGTGCCTTCCCTCACTCCCTCTTCCAGCCTGAACCTTGCCACTCTCAACCACCTACTTTCTCCCAATCCCTTTTTTAAATATCCCGTCCTCCTTTACTCTCCCCACTTATTATATTTCGATTCCCCAATCCTCCGCCATCTCTCCTCCTTTTGCATACTCCTGTCTCTTTCCATCAAAGCGTTGAAGTCCATGTCCCCTTCCTCCCTTTCTTCCTCCATTCTCTTTATTTCCTTCCCTCTTTCCCTGAAGAATTCCCTCTCTCTTCCTCCCAGTCTGACAGCTTTCTCCCTCATTTCCTCCCAGCATTCTCTTGCCACCTCACTTCCTCTGCCACTTGCTAATTTCTCCTCATACCTGCCCTCCAGCCTCACATTTGCCCTTATTTTTTTTAGAACCTCTTCCACCCCTTTCCTTGCATCTTCTCCCTCCTCCCTAACCATTATGTTATTTCTTTTTTCATATATTTCTTTTCTTTCCTTCTCCCCCTCCAAGATTCTCACCCTCTCCTCTATCTCCTCGCCCCCCTTACCTCCCCTTATTCTCTTATCTTCCTTTTCTAGCAACTTTATTCTTTCCTGCAACTCTTCCATTTTCTTCCTTCCACTCCCTCCCTTTAAACCTTTTTCCAGTAACTCCAGCCATTCTTTTTTCTATCCTCTCCCTTTCGACCTTCCATTCCTCCTCCCTTCTTCTCATTTCCTCCAGTTTCCTCCTAATGCCCCAAACTATTCTCCATCCTTTCCCACTTCCCCTTGAACTCCTCCATCCAGCTCTCCAGTGCCTTCAGAATAACACCCTCCCCCCCTCTTCGGACCTCACCAGCGATCTTGGAGTTATCTTGCTCCTTTGGAAGCCTTGCTCCTCCTTTCTCTTTCCCCCTTCCTAATCCACCCGCTGCTTCCTCCTCCAATTCCCTCTTCCTCTTCATCATCTCAATAATTCCTCCGCTATTCGTCCTTTCCGTTCCTCTCTCTCTTCCTCTCGCATCCTTTCCTCTTTCTCCCTCTTCCTCACTATCTCCTCCCTTACCCCTTTGCTTTCCTCTCTCTCCATTTCTCTTACTTTCTTAAGGCCGCCCTTCTTTCTCTACTTCGGCTCGATTTTACACCTGCCCCTTGTATGCGCGCCTTAAGGCCTACACGCCGCGCACTCTAGAGATCGCCCTTTTACCTTCCCACTTTACCCCTGACCAGAACGCTCGCCTCTACGCGCCAAATACCCTTTCCCTTCCCTCTGTTCCCCTACCCGCCTACCAAAGTACCTAACCTCTCTCTTCTGCCTCCGACTTCCAGCACTCCACTCTCTCACCCTTCTCTCCCTCACCTTTCCTTCTACTCTCCACACTTCTCGCTCCTTCTCTTTCTGCCCTCGCACACCTTCCTTTCACCCAAACTCGCCACTCTCTCACACTCTACCTCAAATTATACTGCTACTCTGACACACTCTTTCCACACCCGCTCCGGAAACGGAAGTCAAAGTTTGATTATTTGAATAATCATTAATCAAAGCTAAAAATATTACTGAAAAAATCGATAATGCCGATCCCTGTATATATATAT